TANAATATATATATATATATATATATATATATATATATATATATATATATATATATATATATATATATATATATATATATATATATATATATATATATATATATATATATATATATATATTCATTCGTCTTATACACCTAGCGCTGGATATGCCACTTGCAAGCTCATACGAGACACCGCTGGATTCGACGACACACATAGACGGTTGCACGTACCCAGGTCGGTTTTTTACAGGTGAAAAACCGGTACTCAATCAGCAGCACAATTTCAAAGTACACGAATCCCTCGAGGAACATGAATAAATAGTCCTTGTCCGAGATATTATATTTGGGCGTAGTAGTTAAAGCTTTCGGTGAATAATTCATTTTGTGTGTGAGGAGAGATAAGGAAATCAGATTGGAACAGTGTGCGGATTAGGATATGGCTACAATGGCACACTGAGGAAGTATAACCATACATTCCATTTAATAACTACGCAACACATTTTTATAATTACGCATTGGATCGTTGCTTGAACGCGTACGTGTAAATTGCTACTTGAATATGTATGTGTTGACCACTGCTTCTATGTATAAATACGGACTGTTGAACCCATGGTTTACGTGTTTATGTATTCATAAATATGCATTCCTGTGTTGATATAATTTTACTATGTAACATAGCGGCCTTGAAAATTTGTACATACTGATACAAGATCAGATGCTGGCCGACATTGCGCGCCAAATTTGTTGCAGACTTTTGACTTTCGCGTGTGGATGGATGCCGGCGATTGTTCAGCCGTGCAATGGCAATGTAAATACAAAACAAATAATGTGTATCTAGCTCGTTCATCGTCTATTACTATTACAGTGAGTGCTTACCATTGTTGCCACACGACAGTCAGACCAAGCACCTACTACAGTATCAGAACCTTAAGGTTACTCGACATTAAACTACACACGAAAGCAATGAAATCATCGCTAAGGTACACACTGCACAGGAAATCGATGTAAGTGTGTGGCATGCTTCTATTGTACTTCTCAGATACCCTAGTGGATATGCACATCAATATGTGACCCGGTCGCTAAGGTACGACGTGGTGATGAAAGCAGATGGGATTGGACCAAATATTGGCTGGCAGGATCTGCGTTTGTTGCTAAATCACTGTGGTCACATCAATCTAGCAGCGGTTCTCGTACCATCTTGTACAATCTCGTTAGGTTGCGTGCTTGCCATGAGGATACCATATCCTGCAAAAAAAAGATGTTGGCCGATTGCTGCTGACTAGTTTCGTATGTGACGCATGTGATTCAATTTTGGAAATATTTTATATACTGTGTACATTCATGAATATATGTCACTATATGGAATCCTCGAGAAGCATGTATGTCTTTGCTTTTTGCACTGAGGCTTTCACTCGAAACTCATTCACAATCAATTTATTACTCGGTCTGCGGGTATCAAATATAAACCTTCGATAACTTAATCAATCACGGATTTCCTCAGGCGATTCCAGTGGCGTGGCCTATTGCAGTACACCCGCATTGACATACAGAACGTACCGGAGGCGTATCGTCGAACAAATCAAGCTGCAGGCTCTATGCTTATATCATGCGTGCATTGATGAGTGCTTGGCCAAAGTGTGAGTCCGGGATAGACGATGCAAGCCGTCTGCTATCGATGACACTACGTAGTGCCGCTAAAGCCATCTCATCGTCGCAGGTGACCAAGAAGCGGCGCCGTTCCTCGTTATCAAGAGAAAAGTAACCGTTGTAAACAGACAGTAGAGCTGTGAAGGGCTCAGTATTGTGTACGTTGAGATGGAGAAGTTGCTTATTTCCCGCCATGTACCACTCGGCTTCTCGCTGGGTGAGCACCTCGTACGTGTTATCGTCAGCATTATAGTACAAAGGGCCCACGTACTTGTAGATGGGGTGCGAACCTGTAGCCGCTTTAGTTTCAAAATTTGCAGAGCAAAGCAACCGAGACTCTATGACAGACCCATTCACCGCCATAGTGCGCATCACCTCCCTCTCACTCGGGTCGATGGCTGGTGTGTATACGGCGCTTACTACCTCCTTGGCGATTTCTTGTTCCTGTTGTTGCTGCATTTCTCTTTGCACAAAGGTGTTGAATCCGTGGTCCGTGTTGACAGGAAGTGAGTCATCGTTGGGTTTCAGCAACTTGACAGTGTATTGGAGGGTTATATGGAGCCATTTACCCGTCAAATCATCGATGAAATGATGAGCATTCGCCTCAAGCAATTTGATCGCGCGATTTGCCGGGGGTTCCACACGACAACTTACCCCGTAGAGTTTGTCTGGCTGATCCTGGTCGTCTAAATACCACGCATCTGTGTTTCCATCCTTCGCCGCCGTTGCCTGGGGCCTATCTCCGCCAAAACTGGAACCATTGATTAGATCCTTCGCCGTGAGTGCCTGAGAAGCAGGTGCGGCGACCTCTCCGAAGCCCGCTATAGATGCGTCCTTCGTCACGAGTGCCGCTGCATTCAATAGTCCGGAGACTGGCTTTGGTGCTTCCGTCGCCACCTTTGGCAGGGGGGTACTTTCGCCAAAAGGTCTACCGAAACCCGCAAATCTGGAGACTGA